TCAACATCAGCCTCAAAGGATGGAGGTTTGTCACCACTGAGGATAAATGAACACCTGGCTTCAAAGTCAACTCCTCAGATGAAAGGAAGAGGAATGAGGCACTTAAGGCCCCATTCCACCCTCTCCCAGGCACCGTTAAATCCTTTATGAAATTTTTCTCATGGAATTTTCATCAGAGCCCAGCAAAGTAGATGTCATCAGGCCCACGTTGCAGATTAGGAAAGGGAGGTCCGAAAAGTTAAATCACATGTCCGAGCCCACCAAGACAGAAGATAAGAAATTACTGGCAATTCAACTCAGGCTTGCATTTGTGGAATGATTCCACCACTTGCAAGTGTGGCTACTTGGGAAGCAGCAACATTCATCAGTCAGTATAAAATATGGCAGCGAAAATGTCTTGTACATACGCAGTGGGGGACTTATACGATTGGCTGTTGAATGAATGAGCAAACTTGCACAACACAGTTCTATATCCCCCTGCACATTGAGTACAGACACACATCATTTCAAGTCTACACACATATACAGTGAAAAATAGATTTGTTGAACCATATGGGAGACGGAGAAAACCTGACTCAAATCTCTGCCAAGTCTGTAAGTTTACAAAAGGTAAGGTAATTCCATTTACTTAGGGGATTTTTTAAAAACAATTTCCCTATATTGTTGGATAGCTCCTTTTCTCCAACATAGATTGAGAATCTGAGGACAGGTGACCCCACAGAGAGCAACTTTAAAGTATTTATTGAAATATAATGAAATGGTTCCAACAACCATGCTCTTTTTTTTAAAAGATTTTTTTTTATGTGTGTGATGTAGACCATTTTTAAGGTCTTTATTGAATTTGCCACAATATTGCTTTTGCTTTATGTTTTTTGGCTTCGAGGCATGTGGAATCTTAGCTCCCTAACCAGGGATAGAACCTGCACCTCTTACATTGAAAGGTGAAGTCTTAACCAGTGGAGTGCCATGGACGTCTCCCAGCCACCATGTTCTTAACTGACAGTTTCATTTTCACCTGGTCTGTTGTCTGCTCTGGGATACTGGCCTCTGTCTCACCCAGGTCCACAAAGACTCAGTCTTGAGCGGGTGTAGGCCAACAGATCATCTATTGCTATTCTATTGCACATCTACTGCACACTAGCAGGGAAATGACTGTGAAAATTGGTGAATGACACAAGAGATTGTACAAGAGATTGATAAAGAGCTCACTCCTTTCGGTGCCTTCAGAGCAGCCCAGCCGGCCCACAGAGTCTTCTCTGGTACCGGATGACCTTCCTTAACAAACATAGCACAGGGCTTACAGGCAGAGCCTCTAGAGCCAGAATCCCTGCAGGCAAAAGCTAGCCTTGGACTGTGTGAAGGAACAATGGGCCTCAGTAAACAGGCCGCATTTCATTGACCATTCCCTTTACCCCTATATGGCCAAGGCCGCTGGGGCTATTACTATTACTACTGTTACCACGGCGACTACTACAGCCTCCCTCTTCCCCCTTCCTCCTTCTAAATACTTCTTCTCTTCCTCCTTCTTCTTCATCTGCATACTATTTGTGTCAAAATTATACATGCGAACAATTCCAAGAATCAAACTGTACTGAAAGTTTTGTTACAATTTTTAGCAACAATTCATGTCACTTTCTCTCCCACTTCTCCCTCTCCATCTATTCATATGTCTCAGGCTATAATTTTGGTATTTAGCTCCTTACCTCGAAATGTATAGGACTCATTGACTTTTCAGTTTCCAGCTCTATCTACTGTCTTCCCACTATGGATGAAAGAGTATGGAGCAGTCTTTTTCCTTTATGTGTCCCCAAGAGACACACTCATTTCCCCACTCCCTCACTTCCCCAGTGGGGTATTAATATATTTTTCTGGTTAGGTCAATTTTCAGGGTTTAGGGAATTATGACTAAGCACACTACACAGAGATGCTTCAAGTAGTAAACTGTATGATATCCAATGTCCTAGCTAACACTTTGATTCCTTGGAGTTAAAAAGTATCTTCTGTTAATTGTTGAGGTTTTTTCTCCTGACCTCATCTATTCAACTTCAGATTCTTAACCAACTAAATAAATCTCTCAAGGAAGCCAGATATCTTAGCCATTTCTATCAGCTCACTCTTCCTGAAGAAGACTCTCCAAGGGTCTTTTGATCTGACTCCAATCAGAACTAGTCATGGTTTACACTTTAGGCACAGCTGACATCGATGACCCTCCCATCATCGTGAAGATTTCTTATGCCTCTTTCTCTCCTTTGCTGGAGCTCTGGCTTTCCATATTCCATTTCTTCCTCCTTGATTTAGTCCTTCATTTCAGTAGAGTTCATGTAATTTTCTAACTAGTTGAGATAAGATATACGAGAGATATATTTTTTGAGACCTTGAACTTGTAAAAACATACATCTCAGATTTGATTGATTAGCATGTTTCCACTGCCTTCTAGTGATAGATAATCCCAAAGGATCCTGATTCCTCAGCCTTTATATCCTGTTCTTCTGTGCAGACTTACTGGCTTTGAAGTTTGTTTTGATTTATGTCTGTTTCTAGTCATTACACTGTAGCCTTGGTGAACCCTTCAATCTGGAAACTCATATATTTCAGGTCTGAGAGAATTTCTTTATTTCATTGATGATTTCTTCCCCTCTATGAAGTGAAGTGAAAGTCGTTCAGTGGTGTCTGACACTTTGCGACCCCATGGACTATACAGCCCATGGAATTCTCCAGGCCGGAATACTGGAGAGGGTAGACTTTCCCTTCTTCAGGGAATCTTCCCAACCCAGGAATCAAACCCAGGTCTCCCGCATTGTAGGTAGATTCTTAACCAGCTGGGCCACCAGGAATGTTTTCTCACTTTTCTTCACCCCCTCCATCCCTATTTTCTTTCTTTCTCTCTGTCTCTCTCCCTCTCCCTTTCTTCTTTCTCTGTCTGATATTGAACTTACTGTACTGGCTCTCTAATTCTCTTATATATATATTTTTCCTTCTCATTCTACTGTATAAGGAATATCCTTAACTTTGTCTTCCAACACATCCTTTGAATATTTCCCCCTACTTTCATGTTTTTAATTTATGAGAACTCTGATCTGAAGTTTGTTCTTTGAATTTTAAGTAAACATTGCATTTATTTTACAATTGCAAAAATCTGTTCATTCCTCTGAAAATACTGAGCACAATTCTTTTGATAGTTCTTTCTCCTGGCAGAGTCTCTGTTTATTATAAGCTATTTTTCTTTTTCCCATTTGATTGCGTGGCTCTCACTACTCATGTTAGAAGATTTCTCTGGATGTTTGATAATCTTTAGTCGTCACTAACCTAGTTGGGAGCTTACAGCAAATGAACAGGTCTTGCTGACTGTGAACTACACTCCAAGGGAACCGGGGAACTTCTGATGTCATAATCTCATTCCTCTTGGCTCAGCCACATCCCCATTGAAATCATTCCAGTGTCCAGCCTGGAAGATGAAGTTTTGAGCCTAGCTGGAAGTGGGGTGGGTGTGTTATTTCAGCATCTGGTATGGATGCATCTAGTTAGTTATGCTGTCTTAAGTACTGCATCCCAACTCAAGAGGCTTAATGTTCTTCAGTTCAAACACTCTCTGTTTTACTCTCTTTAGCAAATAAGCCTTCAGTCTTCTGCTTGGAAGAGGAAGGGACAGACATCCAGTTATTCAGGATGGGCAAGCAGATTGGTGCTTTTTAAAATGTCTTAAAAGGCTTTAAAACCCTGCATCCCATCTTAGCCTCTCTTTTATCCCTTCTTCCTCCTTCCATCATTGTGGATGACTGTTCATTCCTGAGCCTTTCAAGAGATTCTTTAGTACCTATCAATTCATGGTTATTTACAGGCACAACTCAAAATTCAGCTTCTGGTGTCATAAGCCACTTACCACAAAACATCTTTCCAATTTCCCCTGTGTTTTGCTATAGTCTCCTCTTAAGTTTTCTCCATCCTTGTGAATTTACCATTTTTCAAACATACTTCATTGCCATTTTATGGAGATTTTAGAAGTGAGAAGATGTGTGTGTGTGTGTGTGTGTCTGTGTGTGCTTAATCTACCATCTTGACCCTGAAATTCAAGTCCTTGTCTTTCCCAAGTCTTCCCAAGTTGTACAAGTTAGAAGAAGACCCTCTAGGCACAGTGCAAGACCATGGGTGCACAGATGCGCACCACCCATGCCCCCTCCTCTGTGGTCAGAGAGGAGACTTCACTAAGGATCCCACTGCTGGACTTCCCTGGGGCTCTATGGAAAAATCCACCTGCTAACACAAGGGATGCAGGAGAGGCAGCTTTGATCCCTGGATCGAGAAGATCCCCTGGAGAAGGAGATCTTCCACTACGACCAGTGTTCTCGCCTGGAAAGTCCCATGGACAGAACAGCCTGGCGGGCTACAGTCCATAGGATCACGAAAGACTCAGACATGACCGAGCGACTAAACGAGGATCCCATAGCTTTCTGAAGCCTTCTGCTGCCTCCTGCCTCTGCAATCAAACTTACCTTCCTCATCCGTGCTGTGAACAGGCAGGGAAAAGTTAAGGTCCTGAGGAAGCAGCGAAAACTCAGGGCTTATATCCAGGGCCCAAAGCCAGCACCGAAGCTGCACAAGAGGCAGAAATCCTCCACGATGCACAGCATTGATTTCAAAGTGTGGGAAGGAAGAGAGTAGAATCCCTTACGTTCCCAACTCATGCCACTCTTTCTAACCTGAGCCTGAACACTCCAGGCTCCCAAAGACATACCAGAATGGAAAAGCAAAGGCCAGGCACGTCTCTAAGCAGTGGTACCAAGAGAGTAGGGCACACGGGCAGGGGTGTGTTCCACCTCAATGCAGGTGACAACAGAGTAGGTGTCTGCAGAGAAGGTATGAGCAATCATGACGTTGCTCTGCTTTTTATGATCTCCATGCACTGCCACATCTAGAGAATGTCAGTGGGAAAATACTCTCCACGGCTGCAGACTCCTCCCATCATACCCTACCCCCTGGCATCCCTCTGGGGATGATGTTACCTGTGGATGATGTGGTACCGCTGCAGATACTCCAGGGCCAGGGCCAGCTCGCAGATGTAGAGCTTCACATCCCCTTCTGTGAAATGTACATTCTGCTGCAGGTGATAACGCAGGTCCCCTCCCAGCAGCAGGTCCACCACCATGAACATGTCCTCCTCATCCTGGAAGGAGTACCTAGGAGCACCGAGAAGCAGAGAAAGTTAGGGATGGAGATGGCTCCCATGCCCTCAAGACCAATGGCCCCATTTTCCAGAAGGGCAAGCTGAGGCTCAGAGAGAGGCACTGATGCTAAGTCACAGTGCCCTAAGGTGGAGTACCAGTCCTCTGGCTCTGAGCTGACAAACAGCACTTGAACCAATGCTGGTCTCCAATACATTACTTCATTTTTAGTGCATGCTTTAATTAGACATTGGCTGAGCACCAAAGAATTGATGCTTTCGAATTGTGATTTTGGAGAAGACTCTTGAGAGTCTCTTGCACTGCAAAGAGATCAAACCAGTCAATCATAAAGGAAATCAATCCTGAATATTCATTGGAAGGACTGACGCTGAAGCTGAATCTCCAGTACTTTGGCCACCTGATGCGAACAGCTGACTCATTGGAAAAGACCCTGATGCGGGGAAAAATTGAAGGCAGGAGGGGAAGGATGAGACAAGAGGATGAGAGAGTTGGATGGCATCACTGACCCAATGGACATGAGTTTGGGTAAACTTTGGGAGATGGTGAAGGACAGGGAAGCCTGGTGTGCTGCATCCATGGGTTGCAAACAGCTGGACAAGACTCAGTGACTGAACAACAACAATGGACTTCAATAATGTCTCCAAAGCTGCAGTCTCCTCTCCACTCCATTCCCCTGTCCTCCCCACATGTGCCACTCCCCATGAGGAGCTTGTTTCTGCAGCCCTAGAAGGCAGTGATGCTCTGGCAAGAAACACCCAAGCTTTAAGGGAACTGGCAATTTCTACTTGGATGGCTGCTTGGAACCCAGCTGGTGCCCAAGCTCTATGGAGAGACCACGAGAAGGAAAACCAAGGTGCTCCACTCGGCAGCCTCAGCTGAGCACCCAGCGCCAGCCATGGCCAATCAGCAGCCTTGGGGGTGACCCTTTGGGAATTTGAATATTTTGCTATAGCTCCAGGTGACATCACCTGGGGCCGAAGAACCACCCCAATGAGCCCAGTCAACTCACAGAACATGAGACAATTAAATGATTGTATTTTGAGCACTATGTTTTGGGGTGTATTTTTTCCCCAAAGCAGTAAGAAATGCACTTAGGCCTTTTATGGATCGAAGAGACAACACATAAACTCTAAGAATGGTATCAAACAATTGTAAACTAGAATCACTAGAATCATAAAATGTTGTCACAATCCACGTGGAACCATGGACTGTAATAAGGGCTCTGCAAAATGATTGGATGTTGTCCTGGATGCTTAGATCTGTGTCTCAGATCCTTGAATAGTATACCCTGGGCCAGTCAGGCTATCCCTCTCATTGGACAGAAGAGGGAAGAAGGGTCTCAGTGAGTCAGTGTTAGGGTGAAACAAGGACCCAGACCCCTCAGTCTCGCCCCACTTGCAATTAACCACTGCTGGGATGCTGCTGCAGTTGCACACTGCTGTGTTTCCCTGACCTGGGTGTGCACACCAGGGAAGGGAACCTGATTCAGTCACAGAAGAGGTGACAGACCCTGTGCTTATGGGATGGAGAGTTCCAGAACTAGAAGGAAACTTAAGTGCCATCTAGGCCCATATGGAGAGATTGCAAGCCAGAGAGAGAAGAAATGGCTGGTCTATGATCTAAATATCTGGTCTTCTTTTTATGCTTGTCAATAAAGTTTTCTAATTTTCTACTTAAAATCTGGCATGTATGCATTTTTATTATGATACTTTTATTATCATCATTGTTATTATCACACTTCACTATTGTTTTTTAAATTTATTCTTAATTGGAGGATAATTGTTTTACAATACTGTGTTGGTTTCCACCATACATCAGCATGAATCAGCGATAGGTATACATGTGAACCCTTCCTGTTGTTATGATATTTAAAAATATATTTTATTTGTGAAGATAGTCTTTTAAAGTAAGATGTACTCACAGGTCATTGCTAGGGAAAGATGAACTCTGGAATTGCTTATGTTTCTTTTGAATCAAGCAGCTTGGCTGACTTCTTAGTTATTAGTTCTAATACCTTTCTAATACTTTTTCCACTTGTGAAAGGGTTAGTTGCTCAGTCATGTCTGACTCTTTGTGACCCCATGGACTGTAGCCCACCAGATTCTTCTGTCCATGGGGATTCTCCAGACAAGAATACTGGAATAGGTTGCCATTCCCTTCTCCAGGGGATCTTTCCGACCCAGGGATCGAACCCAGGTCTCCTGCATTGCAGGCAGATTCTTTACTTCTTGAGCCACCAGGGAAGCCCCACTTTTTCCACTTTTTATATGAAGATGATGATTCTTCCACAACAACTGCCATGTTCATATATCCTTGCAATCCGTATGCCCCCTACTTCTTTTTTCTTGTTTTATTTTACTATCCAGGACCTCCAGTAAAAGACTGGTTAACCATAAGAGGTGAGATCACCATTTTCATTTTGTTCTGGAATTTAGTAAACTCTATGAAATAAATTGTTTGCTGTAGATATATGGTGGATAACATTTTTTTTTTTTTGGCCACACATGTTGGCTCTTAGTTCCCTGGCTAGGGACTGAACCCGTGCCTCCTGCATTGGGAGAGTGGAGTCTTAACCACTGGACAACTGCCACTGGATAACATTTATCCAGTTAAGAAAGTTGCTGTCTAGACTGCTAAGAAATTTTATTGAGTGGGTTCAGAGGTTTTTTTTTTAACATTAAAATGTTTTTGCATTTCTAAACTAAACCTTACTTGATAAACACACTCATATATGTATGTCTAAGTAAATAAGACACACATATATGTGTCTATTATATATAACATGTATAATAAATATACATATCATATAGAAGTATACTATATATAACATATACTATATATATATATATATACATATATATATATATATATACTATATATACTTTTTAAAACTGGATTCATGTTTTTCATTTAGGATTTTTGCATCAAAAGTGACACTGGCTCAAATTTTCCTACCTTTGTCCTGACCCATTTTGGTATCATGGTAAAACTGACTTTGTATGATGAAGTGATTTTTTTTTTTGTCTATGTTCAACAAGAGTGTATAAGAGACACCATTTGGTTGCAGAAAGTCTGGTCTCAAAACACCCTGCATTCCCCTAATTCTGATTCATGTGGGATTTTCCCTCCTCACTTAAGGTGTACCTGTTGGATGTTCAATGATTCCTGCTCCTTCCTCTCAACAAAGAGAGGAAAAATGACTAGGAAATTTATGCACCTCTATTGCACTCATTTCACATGATAATAAAGTAATGCTCAAAATTCCCCAAGGTAGGCTTCAATAGTAATATGAACTGAGAACTTCCAGATGTTCAAGCTGGATTTAGAAAAGACAGAGGAACCAGAGATCAAATGGCCAACATCCATTGGATCATAGAAAAAGCAAGAGAATTAAAAAAAAAATCCACTTCATTTACTATGCTGGAGCCTTTGACTGTGTGAATCACAACAAACTGTGGAAAATTCTTCAAGAGATGGGAATACCAGACCACCTGACCTGCCTCCTGAAAAATCTGTATGCAGGTCAAGAAGCAACAGTTAGAACTGGACATGGAACTGGTTCCAAATAGGGAAAGGAGTATGTCAAGGCTGTATATTGTCACCCTGCTTTTTTAACTTGTATGCAAAGTACATCATGAGAAATGCTGGGCTAGATGAAGCACAAGCAGGAATCAATGTTGCCGGGAGAAATATCAATATCCTCAGATATGCAGATGACACCACACTTATGGCAGAAAGCGAAGAACTAAAGATCCCCTTGATGAAAGTGAAAGAGGAGAGTGAAAAAGTTGGCTTAAAACTCAATGTTCAGAAAACTAAGATCATGGCATCCAGTCCCATAACTTCATGCCAAACAGATGGGGAAACAATGGAAACATGAGAGACTTTATTTTGGGGGGCTCCAAAATCACTGCAGATGGTGACTGCAGCCATGAAATTAAAAGACACTTGCTCCTGGGAAGAAAAACTATAACAAACCTAGGCAGCATATTAAAAAGAAGAGACATTACTTTGCCGACAAAATTCTGTCTAGTCAAAGCTGTGGTTTTTTCAGTAGTCATGTATGGATGTGAGAGTTGGACCATAAAGAAGGCTGAGCACTGCAGAATTGATGCTTTTGAGCTGTACTGTTTAAGAAGACTCTTAAGAGCCCCTTGGACTGCAAGGAGATCAAACCAGTCCGTCCTAAAGGAGATCAACTCTGAATATTCATTGGAAAGACTGATGCTGAAGCTGAAACTCCAATACTTTGGCCACCTGATGAGTAGAACTGATTCATTAGAAAAGACCCTGATGCTGGGAAAGATTGAGGGCAGGAGGAGAAGGGGACTACAGTGGATGAGATGGTTGGATGGCATCACCGACTCAATGGCCATGAGTTTGAGCAGGCTCCGGGAGACTGTTGCACAGAGTCAGACACCACTGAGGGACTGAACAACTGGCCACTGGTGTCAGTTCATCAGGCCCCCTTGTGGATGCTCTTGCGATCAGAATGTGGACACTGAAAGAAAAACCTCTTCCTCTAGGCATGCTTGGCCAGAAGCTCTAACTGTGAGACTGTTTAGATCCTGTTGCCCAAACGAAGATCAGACCCACCTGAAGCTGCAGGGAGTTGAGCCAGGCTGAGATCTAAGTGCAGAGAGAGGCCCTGCTTGAGGTGTGGGCTCCAACCCAGGCAGAAGAGTGGTCTGTCCCTGAATTTCATGTTTACATGGACAAGGGCTGTACTTTTCGATTAAGGCTACTTAACATTGTGCTTCATTCACTCGGAACTGAAACAGTCATTTGATGCATCCTTCTACTTATTTGCTACTGGAGAGAAAGGTTTAGATGCTCAAAAAGGAATGATAGGAATCAGCTATAATATGCCTCCTACAGATCCTCAATTTATATTCCAATAGTTGATGGACTATTGAAATGCTATGTTAATAACAGTGAGTTCTGCACTCTCAATTCACAGCTAAACAGTCAAAGGGCATCTCATTCAATATTCC